TATATATATATATTATATGTATGTATATATAGGCACCGTCCGCTTGGGCTGTATGTACAGAGAAGATATAGAGCTCGCTTATACAGCAGCAGCAGCAGCAGCAGCAGCAGCTGTGTCTGCTTTGTGCTGCTCTCTTCTCCCTTCGTCTTTTCGTTTATTTGGCTTCACTTTGGCCTGCAGTAGCAGCAACAGCAACAGCAACAGCAGCAGCAACAGCAACAGCAGCAGCAGAAGCAGCAGCAGCAGCAGCAGCAGCAGCACAGGGCTGGCTGTTGTCCCCGACAGAAAGTCCGTTGAAGCCCCTTCCCCCACTGCTTAGGGTTTAGGGTTTAGGGTTTAGGGTTTATGGTTTAGGGTCTAGGGTATATATATACATATTTATATATATGTATATATATATTTTGTTTGCCTAATCTATATTTACTGATATATGCAGTTATATATATATAATATATATATATATATATATTTATATACGGGTATATTGTTGTATATATATACAGTTTACACATCAATATTTATTTCTTTACTTGTTTATATATATATATATTTATATATATTTATACATATATGTATATATTAATATATAAATATATTCTTATTAGTATATCTTTATTTGTATCTTTGCTGTATCTGAGGCCGTTGACAGCGCAGACCAAACAAATACAAAAAATTTATTGATGTGTAATAATAACAATATAATAATGATATAATGATATAAAAAATAATATAATAATATAATAATATTAATATAATATAATATAATAATATATTGTAATAATAATAATATAATATAATAAAAGGGTTTGTAATATTTATTTGCTGCTTTGTTTTTGTTGTTTTGTTGCTGTCTTTCTTTGTCTTTTGTTTTTTATCTTTTTCTTAGCCTTTTCTTCTTTGTTATTGTTATACTCAATGCCGTTATTATTATTATTGTTATTGTTATTACTATTATTATTTCTAAGTATTATTAATATTATTATTATTATTATTATTATTGCTGCTGCTGTTGTAGCTGCTCTTATTTGCTGCCTGAGTTTGAGTGCTGCATTTACTTGTCTTTCTTCGGGTGTATAGGCAGCTCTTAGCTGCTGCGAATTATTAATTATTATTAATTGGGGCCCGCACAGCTGTAAATTTATTATTTTTTAGTTTTGTTTGCGCAGTATACGAAGTAATATGGCTGGCAGGGTTTGCTGCATTTGTTGCAGCTATTATTATTATTATTATTATTATTATTATTATTAATGCTAGTCTTATTATTATTATTGTTCTTTATTTACTATCTGAGTATTCTTTGTCTTATTATTGTTGTTATTGTAGGCGTTGTCTTGTCTTTCTATCTCATTGTTATTATTATTATTATTAATATTATTATTATTGTTGTTGTTATTATTATTGTTGTTATTATTATTGTTGTTATTATTATTATTATTGTTATTCGTTCTTTGTTGTTTTTTATTTTCGTCTTATTATTATTACTCTTTATTTGCTGTTTTTGTTCTTCTTTATGTTTTTTTAGGATAAGTTTGGTGAAGGGTGTTGGGCGTTTGTTTTATTTTATTAATTAAAAGTTTGTGCCTGTCTTTGTCTTGATGATGTTTCTTATATTTTGTTTTACTTTACTTATTTTATTTTATTTATTTATCTTTTCTTCGTTTTGTTTGCTAGCTACAGTAGTAGGGCTTACGTATTGGCGTGTATGATAGATATAATAAAGCTTCATAGTTTGTATATTAATATATTTTAAAGGTTTTATTGTTTTAATGTTTATTATTATTATTATTATTATTATTATTAATTAGTAAGTGAGTCTGTTTAGAATTCTTTAGATACATTCGTATTAGAGGTGTATATACACCTCAGAGTACCCTTAGCATATCCCTCTAGTTTTTTCATTGCTTTGTTTCACTGAGGGTAGCTCAGGTTTGACCCTCAACACCACAATGCTTATGGTGTAGGGTTTAGGGTTTAGGGTTTAGGGTTTAAGGGCCGTTACTGCCCGGTTTATATAATATATATATATACTTTAAGGGGTAAAGATGCCCTTTTATATACTTATTGTTATTGGTTTGGCGTTTAGAAACAAAACACCGAAATAAGCAGTATTGATTGCCTTTAAAGTCTTTATACTAAAGGCAAGAAAAAACTATAAAATTTTAAGAGGTGCGCGTACACCCCGTTGGGTAGGTGTGGGGCAGAGCTTACAAACTAATAGGCTTTATTATTTCTTTAGGGTTTAATTATTGCATTTAATTAAAATATAATATAAATAATATTAATAAACATTAATAAATATTATATAATAATAATAGTTTGAGGTATGCCTTCAGTAGTAATGGTGTTGATTCTTCTGTATACTGTTGTGTAGTTTATCTTTAAATAAATAAATAGAGATAAAAATAATAATTAAAATAATACAAATAATAATAAATTATATTTTAAGTTTTTGTTCTACCGTCAAACACACACAAAGGAGACAGAGCTGCAGCTGTCTCCTTCTTCTTCCTGGGGCCCTCTTATATTTTTCTTAAGCATACCTCGTTTATATGAATTGTTAAGGGGGTTTTTAATTGTTTTATATTAATTTTATTATTTAATATTCAACAAATATACTATTTAAGCCCCTTCTTTCTTTAAAACAAACAACAAAGAACCCTTAAACTTCCTATGAGATACTTTCTTAACTCTCAACCCCGATGAAAAACACCTCACAGGGGGCCCCCAAACAAAACTTCATAGAGGGGGGCCCCCAGGGGCCCCCTTATAAATACCCTGAGGGGCCTCTTGAGGGCTCCAAAGCTAGGCTTGGAGGGGCCCCTGTGGGGTCACCAGGGGGCCCCCCTCAGGTGCCTCCGGGGGGCCCCCCTCAGGTGCCTCCGGGGGGCCCCCGTAGGAGGCCTACGGAGGGCCCCCCTATGGAGCCTCTAGGGGGCCCCCCTAAGGAACCTCCGGGGGGCCTCCCTGAGGGTCCTCTTGGGGGCCCCGCTAAGGGGGCTTCTGGGGGCCCCGCTAAGGGGGCTTCTGGGGGCCCCCTTGAGGGGCCCCACGAACTGTCGGGAGGGGCCCCCAGGGGGCCCCCTGAGGGCCCCTCTGCGGAACAACATAAGGGGCCCCCAGGTGAACGCGAGCAGAAAGAGGGTTTAGGAGGGGGGCCCCCCACCCCTCCTTTGGCCCTTCCTTGGCGTTGCTTCGACTTCAACTTCAACGGAGACTTCTGTTTGAGGGGCCTCCCTGTGCTGCTGCCTCCAGGGGGCCCCTTAAGGCCCCCTGAGGAGCAGTGCAACGGTGACACCGGTGAGCAGCAGAAGCTGCTGCTGCTGCTGCTGCTGCTGCTGCTGCTGCTGCTGCTGCTGCCCCCCTAGAAGATGAACTCCTAGCCATTATTATTAGCCCCAAGAGCATATATATAAATATATATAAGTATATAAATATGTGTACATATATATATATATATATATATGTTATAATGTGGTTGATATGCATTGAATTCCTTTATTTTATTATTACTCTGCACTAATAAATTATAAATACTGCAATAATATTATACTGTTTAACCATCACTTGAGGTGTATGCACAGGTTGCTCCGTCTGGGATGCCTCTGTTATCTTAGCCCGCTTCCTTGAACAACACCTACTGGGGCTGCTTAGCCCCCTCACGGCAATACCCCAAGGGGGCCCCTCAGGGGGCCCCTCAGGGGGCCCCCGCTCAAAGGGCCCTTCAGAGGTCCCCTCAGAGGGCCCCTCAGGGGGCCCCTCAAGGGCCCCTGCAGGGGGCCCCTCAGGGGGCCCCTCAGGGGAAACGTCAGGGGGCCCTTCAGAGGGTCAGCTAGAAGGCCCCACGGAGGGCTCGTCAGGGGGCTCCTTAGGGGGCCCCCCAATAGTAAGGGTGCGAGAAGAGCCCTCAGGGGGGCCCCCTGAGGGTTCTTCCTTCCCCCTTATTATTGAGCTGGGAGCAGGGAAGGGCCTCGTTGGGCTGGGTGCTGCTGCTGTTCTGGCAGCCTCAGCAGCAAAGGCGACAGAAGGGCCCCCTGCAGTACCTGAGAGCCCAGTGGGGGCCCCAGGGCCCCCTGGGGCCCCCGGGGGGCCCCCAAGTGCGTACAAGTGCGATGTGCTGCTCACAGACCTTGATTACTGCCTTAAGGGCCTCCGCACTGCTGTACACCTCAACAGACACTTCGCTCAGCTGATCCACCTTACAAATAATATACAGGGAGCCCCAATGGATCCCCTAGAGGGGCCCCTGGGGGGGGCCCCAGAGGGTACCGCAAGGGGGCCCCTAGAGGGGCCCCTAGGGGGGGGCCCAGAGGGCCCCACAGTGGGGGCCCCCGAAGGGGCCTGCGGTGTTGCTAAGGGGCCCCTGATGAGGGTTGCAGTGGAGGCCCTTGACTGGTTTTGCCCGGAGAAGTGCGCTGCATGGGGGCCCCTGGGGGGCCCCCCTGGGGGCCCCCCTCTGAGGGATGTGTTAGTGGTTGCTGCGGATGTGCTGTGGCTGAGAGAGCTTGTAGAGCCCTTTGTACAAACGCTTGCTTTCATATTAATTCAAAGAGAGACTACCCTCACAGCAGCAGATGCTGCTGCATCTGCTGCTGCTGCATCTGCTGCTGCTGCAGCTGCTCCTGCAGCAGCACGGACGCCTTCAAAGGGGGCCCCACAGGGGCCCCAAGAGGGATTAGCAGAAGCATCAGGGGGGCCCCCCGAGGGGGCCCCTCTTAGGGGCCCCCCTTCAGGAGTTCAAGGGGCCCCGCATGCATTAAAAGAAAAGCAGCTACGTCTGCCTTTTGCTATTATTGCACATCAGACGCGTTGTACAGCAGTAGATAATCTCTTCTTTACCCTTTTAAAGAAATATAGTCTCTCTGCTAGCCTCCTAAGCTACGGGGGCCCCCAGGGGGCCCCTCTAGAGGGGCCCCTCAATTCAATTAAGATTTATATAATTCAAAGAGACGATACTCATTAAACATTTTGCAAGAGGGTTTAGGGGGCCTGGGGTGTTATATTTTGTTTGTTTTGTTTACTTTGTTTGTTTGTTTGTTTGTTTGTTTGTTTGTTTGTTTGCTGCTGCAGCAGAGCCAAGAGGCTGAGTTTTATATCTGTCTCTTCACCTGTGTTGCTGTATCCTTATCTTTTACTTGCAGGGGCAGCAGCAAAATAATGAAAACCCTAAACCCTAAACCCTAAACCCTAAACCCTAATCCGCTGCAGCATCCCCGCACCTCCCCCTCTTATACTCTTAACTTGGCCTGTACACCTCAATACAACAATAAAAAATAAAAAATAATATTATTCTGTAGATTCTGTAAAAGATTAATCTTTCTAGATATTATTCTTGTAGCTATATCATTACCTTATCTTTGTTTATTAAACCCTAAACCCTAAACCACCGGCGCCCCGCAACATCACCATGCACCCGCGTGCAGTTCTTATCTGATTCTCCCCGCTAGAGAAGCTAGCTAACTAATTATCTAGCTATCTAGCTAGCTAGCCAGGTAGACAGCGTGTGTAATAGCTATCTTATTAGATAGATGGCTAGCTAGCTAGGCAGCTAGCAAGCTGGATAGCTTGCTCGCTAGCCAGGAGGCTAGCTAGCTGGCCAGCTAGTTCCTTTTCTCATCATTTACTCCACGGGCTGAGGACTCTGCCGCTATCATTTAATGAGAGCAGCAGAAGCAACAGAAACAGCCGTGGTGACGGCGACAGCAGCAGCAGCAGCAGCAGCAGCAACACAGCAGCGTCAGCCACCGCTGCAGCAGCTTCAGCAGCTCCAGCAGCAGCAGCAGCAGCAGCAGCGACAGGTGCTCTAGTTTGTTTTTACAAGTTCTGCAATATGCAGGCCTTGTGGTGTATAGGCAGCTGCAGCATTTGTTTTGTAGCTAGTTTGCGTTAACTTGAGAGGAGCAGCTGGCTGGCTTAGGGATATCTGAGCGGAAATGACAGATGTGTACATAAAGAGGGGAAAAGAAAAGCTGCTGCATGCAGAATATAGCAGATTTTATGAAGTGAGAGAGCTGTAAAGCGATTTTTTTGCATTTGTTTCTGGCTGGGGTGTACACACACCTCTGTTTAGCGGCGCTTGCCTGTGCTTGCGTGTGTGTGTGCGTCTATTAGGAGTTGTTGTGGGGTTAAAATGATTTGTTTATATTTTTAATTAATATAATTGTTTAAAAATACATTTTTTTCTTCGTTTTGCTGCTGAATAGCTGCAGAAACTCTTCTGGAGATGAGTCGGGGTATTGGCTTCTCAGCCGCCTGTGGGGAGGGGGCAACTATGAATAAATACCTTTTCTTGAAGCTAGAAAATAGTATAATTCATTGTAAAATGTAAATTAAAGATTAAAAACCTATAATTTCTTGTTTTTTGCAAAAATACCCTTAAGAGTTTCTCACTGGTAATGCTGGCCCGCTTGCGCTGCGCCGGAGGCCCATTGGGCGCCGTAAGAGGAGAGGCGGTGAGGAGGTAATCTGGGGTAAAATAAGTTGTAAAGAATGTTTTAAACGGTTTTAAATATGAAAATAGATGAAAAATGAAGAAAAACGATGTATTTAAATGTAGTTTCACTCCTATTTACCCCAAATTATATTATTATATAATCACACAGAGGGCTGCGGTCCTTGCTGCCTCCGCTGCAGCAGAGGTAATGTAGAAGCCGTTTATTTTTTGAGGTTTGTTTGTTTGTTTGTTTTATTTTTTCCCAAATAAAGGGGTATTTACTCTTTTATTTCTTGCTGTTCTGCTGCTCAAACCCTCAGTATTAACAGAGAGCAGCAGCGAGCAGCAGCTTAATGACTCACCGACATACTCCCCTTCTCTCTTGAGGTGTACATACACTCAAATCTAGTGCGAAAAAGCAAGCAAAAAATCAGCAAACAACAAAAGTAATCTTCCTAGTAAGTTATTATAAATATTATTGCTGTTATTCACATATTTTCATCCTCTTTTTATGCTTCTTCTTCATAGTCTTCATACATGCAGGCAACACCCAGCCGCTTGTGCACCCGAAGGCATTCATCTTTGTTGCTGCTGCTGCTAATTAATCTTCACTTCTTCTTCTTTTATTTCAATCTTTATCTCTTCCCCTTACTCCCCCCAACTCAATACAAAAGGATTCTTCCCCCGCTGAGGTGTACGTACAGCTCTCCAGCACCGCTGACCGCGCCGCAGCAGCAGCAGCAGCAGCAGCAGAAGCAGAAGCAGCACTGCGCAGAGTTGTTAGCACCGTATTTACTGATGTAAATGAGTTTTCATCCATTTGTTTGGTATTATAAGGCTAAATGCATTAAATGTGCTGTACGTACACCCCAGCTAAGACCCTCTTGTAGCCGCCGCTGGGGTAGCAGCTGGGGCAGCAGCAGCAGCAACAGCAGCAGCAGAAGCACAAGAAAAAGAAGGTGCTGCAGTGTGCATGCATTAATAAAGCACTGATATATTTCAATTTCGAGGAGCAGCAATCTTCTTGCTTTTTGCTTCCTCTCCGCGCTCCCTCCTGTGCTGCACCAGCCGGCTGTTGTTGGTGCTGCTGCAGCTGCTGCTGCAGCTGCTGCTGCTGTTCCTGCTGCTGCCGCAAAACATGTACGAGTGCTGCTGTGTTTCTGCTGTGCTGTGCTATGCTGCAGCGACTTTTTGTCTTCCCCCCGTCCTTATTGGTCTTCCCCCTGCTGCTGCAGCGTTTGCTTCTGCAGCAACGGTCATAGTAGCAGCAACTGCAGCAGCAACAACAGCAGTGACAGCATCAACAGCAGCAGAAGCAAGAGCTTTTGTTGCTCAGCTCATTCACCTCCTTTTCCTCCCCCCCCATTTTTTAGTGCAACCAGCTGCAGCAGCAGCAGCAGCAGCAAGGGCAGCTGTCCCTGAGAAGGACGTCTCGAAGCAGCAGCAGCAGCAGCAGCGCAGCAGCAGCAGCAAGTTTTTTGTTGCAGAGCGAGTTAAATAACTCTGCCTTTGCTGGTGCTGCTGCAGCCTTAAGCCTTAACGATCTGGAGAGACGCAGCAGTTGGAGCAGGGGAGGGAGAAGCAGCAGCGGCAGCAGCAGCTGCTGCAGCGGCTGCTGCAGCTGCTGCAGCAGCCCCTCTCCTTTTAGCTGGGTCCCCAGTCAGCAGGATGTACGTACAGCACGCCTCTTCCTTATCGATATCTTCCTCCTCCATCTCTTTGGAGCTTGCGAAGCAACTGCACGAGCAGCAGCAGCAGCAGCAGCAGCAGCAGCACAACAGCAGCAGCAGCAGCAGCAATCATTTCAGCACAAGACATTCGTTGGGCTTCGTTCTTGAGGGCCCTTCCTCCTCCGTCCCCCACAGATTTTCTTGCAATCCAGTGTTGTCCTTAAATAGCCTCAGCAGCAGCAGCAGCAGCAGCAGCAGCAGCAGGGTGTTTGCTAAGGTTATCCCTAGCAGGTGCTCCCAGGGCAGCGTCCGCCAAGACAAGCCCACTCAGCGATTGCAGCAGCAGCAGCAGCAACAGCAGCAGCAGCAGCAGCAGCACCAGCAGCAGAACGAGCATCGACTGCTGCAGCGCTCTTCAAAGGGAATTACGCTGCAGCCACTGAACGCGCAGCTGCAGCAGCCGCTGCTGCAGAAAGAGCAGCAGCAGCAGCAGCAGCAGCAGTACTCTCTTCAGTGTCTCCCCAAGGACGTCCAGCAGAGGGTATATGCTTGCAAGCAGCAGCACCTGCAGCAGCAGCAGCAAAGGCGTAAGTGCCAGCAGCAGCAGCAGCAGCAGCAGCAGCAGCAAAAGCAAGAGCGTCAGTTTTATTACAACCCTGCTTACTCAATACAACAGCAGCAGCGGCAGCTTGAACTGCAGCAGCAGCAGCAGCAGCAAGTCGCTGCCCAGCCTTTCTCCTTTGGCCGCCAAAGAGCCGCTCACAGGTCTCGCCAGGTGCTTGCTTCTCTTAATCCTGCAGCAGCAGATATTCACAATAAGCAGCAGCAGCAGCAGCAGCAGCAGCAGCAGCAGCAGCAGCAGCAGCAGCAGCAGGAGCAGCAGGAGGAGGAGCAGCAAAGTAGCAGTAAAGGTGTTGTCTCTTGCTTTGTTTCAGAGAAGCAGCCCCTCCCTTCAGGAGGATTTTCTCTCTGAAGTTATGTTCTACGATTGTCTTAGAGGGCACTCAAACATTGTTACACCCACTCGGGTGTACGTTGACCTCCAGCAGCAGCTGCTGCTGCTGCTCTTCCCCCTTGCTGAGTTTGAGGATCTCTTCGAGGTCTTGAAGAAAAGAAAAGAAGCGTTTAAAGAAACAGAAGTATATACAACACCCTGCCGCTGCTGCTGTTACTGCTGCTGCTGCTGCTGTTGCTGCTGCTGCTGTTGTTGCTGCTGCTGCTGTTGTTGCTTTTGCTGTTGCTGAGGCTCCTGCTGCTGCTGCTGCTCTTTCTGCTCTTGCTGCTCTTGCTGCTGCTGCCGATGCTGCTACTGATGCTGCTGCTGCTGCTGCTGCTGCTGCCATTTGTTTGTGTTGCTCTTCAATATCTTAAGCCGCTGTTTGCTGCTTTACTTCGTGGCTGTCCTCCTTAACCCCCATATTCAACCTTTGATGCTCAGGGCTTAGGGTTTAGGGTTTAGGGTTTAGGGTTTAGGGTTTGTCTGCAGGTGCGGTGGATGGCTCGCCAGCTGTTGGACGCGGTTTTATTTCTTCACAAGCGAGGCATTGCAATGCGGGGTGAGAGGCCCTAAACCCTAAACCCTAAACCCTAAACCCTAAAGTCTTGAGCCGCTCTTGTATTATTTCCGTTTCCTTTCAGCTGCGATACGCCCTAGCCCCTAAACGCTGAACCCTAAACCCTAAACTCTGACCCCTGACCCCTGACCCCTAAACCCTAAACCCTAAACCCTAACCTTTAACCCCTAACCCGTAATCCCTAACCTCTACCCCCGTAAACCCTAAACCCTAAACCCCAGTCTGGAGTGTGTTTCTGTTTATTTATTAATTTATTAATTTATTATTTATTTGTTTATTTATTAATTTATTTATTTATTTATTTGTTTGTTTGTTTAGATTTATCGCTGGAGAATGTGCTCGTGTTTCGCTGCGAAGCAACGGGCATCATCGTCCCCTGTCTTACAGACCCTGGCCAGGCGGTAGTAGCGCTTCCTTCTCGAACTGCTGCAGCTCTTGCTGCAGCCGAAAAGCAGCAGCAGCAGCAGCAGCAGCAGCAGCAGCAAGGGGGCAGCCTGGATAGCTTCAAGCCCTGTGCTGTTCGAGACACTGACAGCATTGTTCTTCGTGCTTTTGCTGCTGAGCCCTTCGCCTCTCCTCGCGTCCTCCTTCCTCCTAACAAACTCTTCGGCAAGAGCTTCAGACCCCCAGAGGTCTACACGCGAAAACCGTAAGCTCCTCTTGCTGCTGCTGCTGCTGCTGATGCTGCAGCAGCTGCTGCTCATGCTGCTGATGCTGCTGATGCCGATGCTGCTCATGCTGCTCATGCTGCTGAGGCTCCTGCTTCTGCTGCTGCTGCTGATGCTGCTGCTGATGCCGATGCTGCTGATGCTGATGCTGCTGAGGCGGAGGATGCGCTGGATGCGGTGGCTGCTGCTGCTGAT